TAAATTTTCAAAACATAAGCATAACATTTCTCATTAGTTATTGTAAAGAGTTAGGAAAAATATTTAAATATTTCTTATTTCGTTCCAATAGAGTTAGGGGTATATATACATACAGATAGATTCATATATGGTAACCAATATAAATTACCCTATTAATTTGCTGCCTAATTATGCTAATATATTTGGGAAGGTAATCATGCTATTATATAGAGAAAATCATGCTATTATATAATAGAACATTCTATATTATTCTAACATTTTCCTCAAACTGAAATATAGATATTAATCATACCCAGTTTATTACGAAAATATTCAATCTGTGTTCCGTTCAAAGACTTTGGAAATATGTCACCTATTTATTCTCATGTCTTCACTTAACTAGTAGATATCAAGTTTTTCTAAATTTTCTCATGGATGAAGTGATAATCAATCTCGATGTATTTGGTTCTCTCATGATACATCGGATTTGAGGTAATGTGAAGGACAGCCTAATTATCGTACCAAAATTTTACGATTTAATTGCTTTTACTAGCTCTTTAATTGTTTTTATAGATTCAACTTTCAAATTCAAGACAGTTAAAGAGGTTTTGAATCACCCTGGTTAGTGTAATGCAATGCTTGAGGAGATAAATATTCTTAATGATAATTATACTTGGGATTTGGTCGATTTACCTAAAAAAAAAATTATTGTGGGGTGCAAATGAGTATTTGCAGTATAAGTGAATTCATATGGCTTTATGGCGAGACTTAAAGGTAGACTCGTAGCGAAAGACTATGTTTAAACTTATGGGATGAATTATTCTAATACGTTTTCTTCAGTGGCCAAACTTACCTTAATCTATTTATTCACCTCTATTGTAGCCTCCCAAGACTAACTCTTACATTAATTGAACATTAAAAATATATTTTTTCATTGTGATTTCTTAAAAGAAGTGTATATGCAGCAATAACCTAGATTTGTTGTTCAGGAAGAGTACAAGAAAATCTGTCATTTAAAGAAATTTTTGTATGGTTTGAAATAGAGTCCCCATGCGTGGTTTGATAAGTTTAGTGAAATAGTTTATGAGTTTGGATTGAAGAAGAGTAAGTGTGATCATTTAGTCTTTTATACACAATCAACAGGTAGTATTATAATTCTTGATGGTTATGTTGATGATTTTGTTATTACAGGAGATAATCATGCATAAATGTCTTCTCTCAAGTCATTCTTGCATACAAAATTTCATTTCAAAGATTTTGGATAATTAAAATACTTCTTGGGGATTAAATTAACAACAAATGACTTCCCTTTAGCCGAAGATCACCACAGATCTGTGATGCACCCAAATCCAAGTAGATCTAAACCACCAGGACAAAACAAAAAAGGGAAGAAATTTTCTCTCACCCATGGCAAGCAAAACGGAAGGTTCAATCTTAGAGGTAACCTCCAGACCTGAAGCAGTCCATTTCGGTAGTATCAGCATCACAGAACGCATCATTCTTTTTATAACCGGTCATAAACTCAATGGGCAGATTTTGTTCAATTGCTACAGTCTGTCCGGTTATTCATCTACGGAAAGGAAAAGAATACCTTACAGAA